TGCAGCACAGGACAAAAGGGTATGCACTGGGAAACAGGAGGAGGAAGACGAAGAGACAGGAGAGGAGAACAGTCACCAGACTCACCTTGTTCCCAAGGAGAAGGAGGCAAGAGGAGTGGATGAGAGAGCGAGGAGAAGGGCCTGCTTTTATACTGCTCCTGCACTGCCCCAGGCCCACAGTCACTGCACCAGGGTAGTAATTTTAAAAGAGACTCATCTCCAAAGCAAAACATCCTACGTGATGCCACAGGTTGTACTTTTGTTTCCATCAACGCTGCAGTTTCATTTCCTCATTTCTGACATGACCATTAGGCCTCCAAGCATCCTTTCAAGTACTGAGATGAAAGGCCCAAGGCCTGGGCAGGGACACATCAGTACAGGAAGATGTGCCAGAGGGGTCTCTGGAGAAATGGAATGTGGGATTGGGGAGCAATGGGAGATTCATGTCCACCCTCTTTTGCTGCAATAAGGTCATGCTGAGGGTAAAGTCTGTAGGGTTGCCTGGAGCTGTGTACTTGGTAACAGCCCCATGCTGGACATGGTTTTCTCTGTGCAGGGATGGAGCTGCCCTTGCCTGAGGGGAATTCAACCCTGACTGAGACTCAACCCTGCAGACAGAACACACTCCTGGCTTGGCCCAGCACCCGAAGGCTGACACAAGGCCAACCCAAAATTAGAGCGTGACTGGCCATGGGCTGGGAGAGGCTGTCCCAGGAAATTTGCCTACTGAAGGCATTCCCTTGCCCTCCTGGGATGTGTCCCAGCTGCCTCCATGTATGCAGGGCAGGGAAGAGCATCGCTGCTTGGCGTGGGCTGAGAGCTGGGTTTGTACGCAGGACCCTTCTGGGTACACAAGGCTGCTCTTAATTCTGATCCAAAAAGTTCTTCTTTCTCAGAGGCAGCTGTGCATCACTGTCATTTCCCCATGACAGAATCCTTGAGGCTGCAAATAACCTCTGGACGTCAGCTCTTCAAACCACCCCTGCTCCAGGTTTCCCTCCACAGGCTTTCCTGACTCAGATCCAGGTGGGTTTGACTTTCCTGACAACTCCATGTGGGTTTGGATTTCCTGCCCCAGGCCTGGAACACTCAGACAGCCTGGAAACGTTCTCTGTGAACAAAGGGTATGAGGAGGGAGAGAGAGGAGACATTGCCTGGAGCAGTAGTGGCTGCTCCAGGGTATCCTTACCAGGGCATCCTCAGGCCTGGCAGTGCAGCCCATGAAAGGAGCTGCAGCACAGACCAAGCACGTCAGAAATGAGGAAATGGGATGGCAGCAGGGATGGAGATCCAGAACACCCTGTGGCATTGGGTGGGAAGCTTTGCTTTGGAGGTGAATGTGCTGGAAAATTGCTGTCCCTGTGCAGTGACCTGTGGACCTGGGGCAGTGCATGAGCAGCATAAAAGCAAGCCCTGCTCCTCACTCTCACATTCACTCCACTCACTTCCAGTTCCTTGGGATCCAGGTGAATCTGAAGCCCTTTCTTTTCCTCCTCCTCTGGAGTTTCCATGTCTATCCTGTCCTTTTGGTCTCCTTTGGATTCTGAGAAATGCCTGTCATGGGAGAGGGAAGGGGTCAGAAGGTGTGCTGGGGGAGAGGCTGGGTTTTGGCTGAGGTGTCTCCTGAGCCCTGGTCCAGGTGGGGAAGTCCTTGAGCTTGGTCTCTCTTGGGGCCTCAGGGCTTGAGGGACTGAGGGCAAAGTGCTGCTGGTGGGCCTCTCTAAGCAGCCTCGTGCTCTCTTCTCCTTCTTGTGTATTTTCTTCATCCTGGTGGGCCAAGAGACTCCCCTCACTGTCCCTGCTCTGCCTCCCCTGCCCTCTGTGCCAGGTGCAGCTCTGACTTTGAGACATGTCCTGCTCCACCCCGTGCCTGCCCTGCCAGCCCTGCGGGCCCACCCCGCTGGCCAACAGCTGCAATGAGCCCTGTGTCAGGCAGTGCCAGGACTCCACCGTGGTCATCCAGCCCTCCCCCGTGGTGGTGACCCTGCCCGGGCCCATCCTCAGCTCCTTCCCACAGAACACCGCCGTGGGATCCTCCACCTCCGCTGCCGTTGGCAGCATCCTCAGCTCTCAGGGAGTGCCCATCAACTCCGGGGGCTTTGGCCTCTCTGGGCTGGGCAGTGGCCTCTGTGGCAGGAGCCGCTTCATCTGCTAAAGCTGCTGCCCATGGCCCTGGGGAAGGCCCTCAGGGACTCCCAAGATGGTTTTTCACTGATGCTGGAGCATCATCTTGCTGCTTCCAGAGGGGCTGAGCCAGCCCAGCAGCCCCTGCAGAAGGACGGGGCCAGCCTGGGCTCTGGGCAAGCACGGCCCAGCTCTGCCTCTGCCCTCTGCCACTCTCTGCTTTCTGTCCTGTGTCCTTGTTCCCTTGTGCTCCTGTGGGCTCTCAGCCCCAGAACCAGCCTGGGGAGGACCTGCTGGCCCTGTTCCCCCCCTGGATCAGGCAGATGGGATCTCTGCCAGAGCCATGGGGCACACACTGTTGTCTGTCCATGGTTCTCCCTGCCCTGGGTTCCCCACTCAGACCAACCTCATTTTCATCTTTCACTGATTAAAGTTCTCTGGCATCCCAGTCTACGCCTCTGTGTCATCCTTTTTCCTGCAGATGCTCTCTCAAGATGTCCAGGGAGAGAGGAGACCCTCAGGGATGTTTCTGAGAGCATTTATGGGGATGGTTGTGCAATGGCTATTGACACACTGATTGGTACCTGAAAGGCTGTGGGTAGACTTCCCAAAGTAGCCACCCTTTGGAGAGTGCCTGAGCATCACCCTGTTGGTGCAAGGTGCTGGGTGATGACCTTCCCAGCCCTTTTTTTTTCATCCTCTCTTTTGTTTTCTCCTGATCTCAAACCCAGGGTGTCTCACTCTCCTGCTCTCCCCACTCTCCCCCATCCCCCTGGGACAGTGGATCTGGAAAGAGCTGCTCAGTGCTCAGTGCTGACTGGGTTAAACACACCCACACAGGCCCCCAGCCCCTGCATCTCCCCCTTGCCCTGCTCATTCCCTGGCTGTGCCCAGGGCTTCCCGGGAATGTTTCTGGGGAGAGAGAGCCCAGGGAGACCCAGAGCAGGAAGAGAGGCAGGGGGTGTGGGCTGGGTGTCTCAAAGGGCTGTCCAGGAGCAGCTGAGGGAGGGCAGTGGCTGAACTGCTGCAGGACACAGCTGGGCAGGGGGACACGGGTGTGTCCCCCCAGAGCCCTCAGTGGCAGCTGAGTGGGAGCAGTCAGCCCTGTGTGCCCACAGCTCCCTCAACCCCTGCAAGCAGCAGCCCCAAAGCAGGGCCAGGGAAAGGGGCTCCTGCAGTGACCCCATGGGAACAGAAGCCCCTGGCCCCATGTGCCCAGACCCTGAGGACTGTCCTCACCCCCTGGGCTGTGCGAGCAGCAATGTGAGCAGGAAGGAGATCCATGGGAGATACGATGCTGCTCCGCTCAGCACTCGCCTGGTGGCATCCAGGACACTGCTGTGACACGAGGAAAGATGGAGTACAAGGATCCCTTGGCCAAGGGAGTTCAGCAGAGAAGCCCCAGGACTGTGAGGAACTGGAGCACTTCCCTGAGCAGGAGATGCTGAGGGAATGAGGCATCCTGAGTGTGAAGGGGAGACTTTAGTGGGAGACTTGAGAGCAGATTTGGAGCAGCTCTGCTGAGGTGCCCCAGAAGACGGATGCAGGCTCAACACTGGCAGTGCGTGGCTGGAGGACTGGAGACACTGGACTCCCACTGAAAGATGAGAGGTTGGGACTAAATAGATGGAAAATGTTCTTCATCAAGGGGAGGATCCAGCAGTGGAATAATTGCCTGGGAAGGTCGTGCAGTCGCCCTCCTTGGATGCTCATGGTTGACTGAGCTTGGAGCAAGGGCTTGGGCCCAAGAATCTCTGCAGCTTCTTTCCACCTTGACTCTGGCATGATCCAATGACCCTGGGCCCCCTGTGCCTCTGTCCTCTGGGGTAAGGCCAGCAATGAGCAAGAGGGGCTCCTTTTCCTGGTGAGGACAAGGGCAGTGTGAGGAGCTCTGCTGAATGCTGCATTGGGGGAAACAAAGGATTGCAAAAACCATCCCTGCACCAAATTAAAGACTACAAGACCTGTGGTCTCCAGCTCTTGGGACAAAGTTTTCCTGAAGAGGCTGTGGCAGTATGTTCCCTTTCTGTTCTTATGCTTTTGTTTTCCACCTCACTCCCCAACTGTGAACCTCAGTGCTATTGATATTACAGGATCTCCTGGGCATTCCTGGGAAAGAATTCCCTCTGTCTTGTCAATAAACACATTCATCCCTCCTCCCTCTGACTACTTGTGTCACAGTGATGAGCTCACCAAGGCAAAAGACAAGGAGAGCACAACAAAGCAGATGTCAGATGTTGAACTTCACTGGTCACTCCATCCCCAAATGGACAGGGACCTTTGGAAACCAGCAAGTACTGCCTGAGCAGCCTCACTGCAAAACCCAGCTGACAAACACTGCACAGCCATTCCCAACAACCCCCTCCCCGAACCACTCTCAGATAACAGCATTTCCCCTGGGCACATTGGGAGAACGTCTGCAGGGGAAAGGAGGACACAGAGACATGAGCTGGGATGCAGCAGAATTTATTGAGCAAAAGGAGGGGAAAAAAGGTTGCTCTAAATGGAGAACTCAGTTGAGAGAGCACCAGGGGCAGAGAGTCTCTGCCCTTTGGATCTGGCAGACATCCCACCAGGAGTCCATCTGCCTGATCCAGGGAGGAGCAGGGAGAGCAGGTCCTCCCCAGGCTGGTTCTGCGGGGCCAAGAGCCCACGGAGCACAAGGGAACAAGGACACAGGACAGAAAGCAGAGAGTGGCAGAGGACAGAGGCAGGGCTGGGCCGTGCTTGCCCAGAGCCCAGGCTGGCCCCGTCCTTCTGCAGGGGCTGCTGGGCTGGCTCAGCCCCTCTGGAAGCAGCAAGATGATGCTCCAGCATCAGAGAAAAACCATCTTGGGAGTCCTTGAGGGCCTTCCCCAGGGCCTGGGGCAGCAGCTTTAGCAGGGGAAGCAGCTCCTGCCACAGAGGCCACTGCCCAGCCCAGAGAGGCCAAAGCCCCCGGAGTTGATGGGCACTCCCTGAGAGCTGAGGATGCTGCCAACGGCAGCGGAGGTGGAGGATCCCACGGCGGTGTTCTGTGGGAAGGAGCTGAGGATGGGCCCAGGCAGGGTCACCACCACGGGGGAGGGCTGGATGACCACGGTGGAGTCCTGGCACTGCCTGACACAGGGCTCATTGCAGCTGTTGGCCAGCGGGGTGGGCCCGCAGGGCTGGCAGGGCAGGCACGGGGTGGAGCAGGACATGTCTCAAAATCAGAGCTGCACCTGGCACAGAGGGCAGGGGAGGCAGAAAATAAGAGGTTTTTGAAGAGGTTTTGGCTCCCTACCATGACTCAGAGTCTTCCCCTCAGCTCACAAGAACTCCCCCAGCAGCAGCGTTGCCCACCAATCCAATCCCCACACAGCCCATGGCTCAGGACACCTCTGAGCCAAGCCCCAGCCTCCCTCCATACCACACCTTCTGCCCCCTTCCCTCTCCCAGGACCAACAGCCCCAAGAATCCACGTGGTGCACAGAGGCTGGAATGTGCTCAGAAATCCCACAGTAGGGACTGGAGGAGGAGGAGGAGGAGGAGGAAAACAAGCCAAAGCTTCAAACACTCCTCATGCCCATGGCTCGCTTCCCTGATATGCTGACCAATGACACAAGGAAGGACAAAGAGTCAAGTCTGCTCTGAGATATTCAAAAGGAGCAATGGGATGAAGGGAAAGGACTCAAAACTCACCTTGTTCCCAATAAGATGGAGGCAAAGGAGTGGATGAGAGAGTGAGCAGAAGGACCCACTTTTATACTGCTCCTGCACCGCCCCAGGCCCACAGTCACTGCACCAGGGTAACAATTTTCCAATGGACTCACCTCCAAAAATACCCAACCTTATGCCACAGGTGGAGTTTTGTTTCTGTCAACGATGCAGTTTCATTTCCTCATTTCTGGTGTGACCATGAGGATCCACAGAGGGTCTTTTGAAGGATTGGAATGAAAGGCCTGAGGATTTCCTGAGCAGGATCATTTCAGCACAGGCAGAAGATGTGTCCCCATGTGCTGGAGGGGTCTGTGCAGGCAGAGGATGTGGGTGTGGGGAAATGTGGGGAGGTTGTTTTTTTCAAAGCCCTGTGAGGAAACACGGTCATGTCCCCACCAATCCAGATCTCTCCTGAGCACCCCCAGTCTTCTCCTAATGAGGACAGGCTGCAGCCTCTCCCTCCCTGCCTGCCTCCCTGCCCAGGCCAGCACTCCCTGCACTTTGCCTCCACAGGCTGGCAGGTTCTGTTGCTGCTTTCAAATGGCTTTGCCCAAGGAAATCTGCTCCTTCTGGGCAGACATTTCCTGGTTTATTTGGCACAGTTGTCTCCTCTCACTGCAGTCTCTGGGGGTCCCTGCCAGTGCTGGCAGCAGGGCTGGGGAAGGCTGTCCTCTCCAAAGGCCCTGATTGCAGCAAGCCCTGTGGACTCGGGTTCCTCTCCTCTCACTCCCTGAGGGCTGTGTTGGGTCTCAGACAGCCCCTTCTTCCTGCCCCTCTGCTCAGCCCACGCTGCCCTTTGGCTGCACACTTTGCCCCCTGCCCTGCAGGGCACACAAGCACAGGGCCCTTTTGCAGGACACACTGTCAGCCCTGAGAACACCCCTGAGCTGTGGCAGCGCTGCCAGAGCAGGGCAGGCTGAGGGCAGTGGCCTTGGGGCTGCCTGGAGCTGTGGGGCTGGCACAGCCCAGTGCTCCACGATGGTTTTCCTAGGAAAGGAATGGAGCTGCCCAAAGGACTGAGGCCTGGCAGGACCCTGAATGTGCCTGGGGATGCTCAGGGAGGGAAGGTGCCCAGAAGGGCCCAGGGGACAAACCCAGCTCTCAGCCCACGCCAAGCAGCGATGCTCTTCCCTGCCCTGCACACATGGAGGCAGCTGGGACACATCCCAGGAGGGCAAGGGAATGCCTTCAGTAGGCAAATTTCCTGGGACAGACTCATAGAGTCTCCCAATCCATGGTGAGTCAAGCCCCAGTTTTGGGTTGGCCTCGTGTCAGCCTTTGTGTGTGGGGCCAAGCCAGCAGTGTGTGCTGTCTGCAGGCTCGTGTCCTCTGTGGGGCTGAATTTCCTTCAGGCAAGGGCAGCTCCATCCTTGCCCCAGGCAAATCGGTGCTTGGCAGCACTTGCACAGGTCAGGAGTGTTCTCAGGGCTGACAGAGTGTATTGGAAAAGTTTCCTGTGCTTGGGTGTCATCCAGGTCAGGGTGTAAAATGTGCAGCCAAAGTGCATTGAGGGGTGAGCAGAGGGGAGGAACAAGGAACTGTCCTGAGGCCCAACAGACCCCTCTGACAGTGAGAGGAGAGCAACCCAAGTCCACAGGGCTTGCTGCAATCAGGGCCTTTGGAGAGGACAGCCTTCCCCAGCCCTGCTGCCAGCACTGGCAGGGACCCCCAGAGACTGCAGTGAGAGGAGACAACTGTGCCAAATAAACCAGGAAATGTCTGCCCAGAAGGAGCAGATTTCCTTGGGCAAAGCCATTTGAAAGCAGCAACAGAACCTGCCAGCCTGTGGAGGCAAAGTGCAGGGAGTGCTGGCCTGGGCAGGGAGGCAGGCAGGGAGGGAGAGGCTGCAGCCTGTCCTCATTAGGAGAAGACTGGGGGTGCTCAGGAGAGGATTGCACTGGTGGGAAGACATGATGTCTCACAGGGCTTTGAAAACAACCTCCCCACATTTCCCCACACCCACATCCTCTGCCTGCACAGACCCCTCCAGCACATGGGGACACATCTTCTGCCTGTGCTGACATGATCCTGCTCAGGAAATCCTCAGGCCTTTCATTCCAATCCTTCAAAAGATCCTCTGTGGATCCTCATGGTCACACCAGAAATGAGGAAATGAAATGGCAGTGTTGACAGAAACCAAAATGCAACCTGTGGCATTAGGTGGGATATTTTGCTTTGGAGGTGAGTCTGTTGGAAAATTACTGCCTTGTGCAGTGACTGTGGGCCTGGGGCGGTGCAGGAGCAGTATAAAAGCAGGCCCTTCTCTTCACTCTCTCATCCACTCCTTTGCCTCCATCTCATTGGGAACAAGGTGAGGTTTGAACCTTTCTTATGCTCCCCCTTGTTCTCTTCTTCTTCTTCTTCCTTCCCTTTGTCTTCCACCTTGTCCTTCTCTGGGGTTTCCTGTCCCACACTTGCCTCCTTGTTCTCTGCTGTCTTGAGGCTGCTTACCATGGGACACAGAAGGTGTTCCTGGAGAAGGGCTGGACTGAGCTGTCTCCTGAGCTATGGGGGGGTCCTCCTTGGCCTTGGCCACTCTAGGTGGGCTCACTGGGGCTGAAAGAAAGGAGGTCATTCATGGTGTGGTGAGAGGCTGCCCTTCAAACACCCCTCATGCCTTGATTTTTCTTGCCCTCTGTGCCAGGTGCAGCTCTGCCTTTGAGACATGTCCTGCTACACCCCGTGCCTGCCCTGCCAGCCCTGCGGGCCCACCCCGCTGGCCAACAGCTGCAATGAGCCCTGTGTCAGGCAGTGCCAGGACTCCAATGTCTTCATCCAGCCCTCCCCCGTGGTGGTGACCCTGCCCGGGCCCATCCTCAGCTCCTTCCCACAGAACACCGCCGTGGGATCCTCCACCTCCGCTGCCGTTGGCAGCATCCTCAGCTCTCAGGGAGTGCCCATCAACTCCGGGGGCTTTGGCCTCTCTGGGCTGGGCAGTGGCCTCTGTGGCAGGAGCTGCTTCCCCTGCTAAAGCTGCTCCCTCCCATGGCCTCTCCCCTTGGACATCTCCCCTTGCATCCACCTCCATTCCCTCTTTGCACTCATTAAATTCTGCTGCATCCCAGCCCACGCCTCTGTGTCATCCTTTCCCCTTCAACTGCTCTCCAGGGGGAGAGATGTTGCCCAGGAGGTTTCTGAGAGGCAATTTTAGAGGCAGGTGTTTCACTGACTTTTAAGACAGGAGTGTTTGAACGTGCTCCATCAGGCTATTGCTCTTTTCCAACCTTCTCAACCTGCTTGTGCCTGGATAGAACAAACCAATCCTCTTCATTGGCTGCAGCTGCTCCAAGGACGATTTTATCTCTCTGACCAAAGCATTCTCCTTTCCACACTCAGCAGTCCCTGTGCCTGAGTCAAGTGCTCAGCCTCCTCCCCATCCCAAACACCCTGCACTGAACTTCTCCCCATGGTCAGGGTTGTTGTTGCATTCCAGCCTGTCCCCAACACGGGTGATGCCACCAGGCGAGTGCCGAGCAGAGCGGCATCGTGGCTCCCACGGATCTCCTGCTCACACTCCTGCTCACACAGCCCAGGGGGATGGGGACAGTCCTCGGGGTCTGGGCACAGCTGGGGATGTGGCTCCTGTTCCCATGGGGTCACTGCAGGAGCCCCTTTCTCTGGCCCTGTGTCCTGGTTTCAGCTGGGTGGAGTTCATTTGTTCTCAGTAGCTGTTCTAGTGCTGTGCTTTGGACTCAGAATGAAATGGTGTTGATAACACACTGATGGTTTGGGGTTTTGATAAGTCCTGTTTATCCTAAGTCTTTTTGGGATTTTTCACCTCCTGCTCTGCCAGTGATGAGATTGACAAAGGAAACTGAGAAGGAGCAGAGCTGGGACAGGTGATCCAATCTGACCAAAGGGATATTCCAAAAATAGGACATCATGCCCTGTCTGTGAACTTGTGGTAGTTACCAGGAAGTGGAGTCTTGCATCAGTCAGAGAGGGTGGTGAGTAATTGTAATGTGCATCACTCAGTTTTCCCTTATTATTATCATTACTGTTAACATTTACCATTGTGGCTGTCTTTTTATTTTAGCTGAGGTCACCTGTCCTGCCAGCACCAGGGCAAACTGGTGCTCCATTCCCTCTCCTCTTGTCCTCTGAGGGTTTTTTTGGCTTGAGCCTCCTCTGCCAGAATGATGGCACCCAGGACAAGATAAATTGCTCTATCTTCTTTCCTTTCCCTTGTTGCCTCAGAGTTTTTGATTTTTTTTTTTTTAATTTTTGTAGATTTTAGAAGTACTTGTACAGAAAATGTAGATTTTAATGTAGTTGTGTTATAGCCCTTGCCCTTAACACAGTAGTTACACACAGCCAACCCTGTCACCCTATTCCATATCAATCCCCCTAAATTCCATGGGTGTGTTTTGTCTCCTTTTCAAGGCAGAATTGTAGAAAACACCCTAAAATCTACACCAGAAGATACAGGCATAGACACAACGACCTTCCAGCCCAGAGCCTTGGAAAGCCTCCAAGAACTGCACGTGCTTTGATGAAGATGAAGATGAAGAAGAGGGGGTCCCAAACTCCCCCAGAATCAGTTCCCAAAAGGAGTGTGTGGGGGCAGAGCGGGGCAGAACAGGGGGGTGGTCAAACAGGGATGGGATGGAAATCATTATACAATTCTAACACCTGGGTCATGGGTTTGTGTTCCTGGAGAGCCTGCAGGCTCATTAAAACCCAAACTAGAGAACCAACCCTAAAACCACAACTGTAATTGTCACCAAAGAGCCAAGAATCTGAACCAAGCTAATCCTGATGCTGATTCTTCTACAACAAGATGGATGCTCTAAAGAATGAACAAGGACTATATACATTTATCCATATGTGTATATATACGAAAGATATAAGTGAAGACAGAATATAGGTGTTACGTAAAAATAGTATGGAATAAAGGGTGGAGAATGTGATGGTTTCGATCTAGGCCTTCCTGGTAACCAGTTTGTAACCAAGGAAGTGGCCAAGTACCCAGTATTCCATACAATTTTTAGGTAAACCAGAGTATAAATAAGTTGGAGATTAGAAACCTCTCTCTCTTCTCTTCCAACGAGGGTCGGGAACTGCAGGTCCTTGCGTTGGTCTCGCTTATCTAAAGCTGAGGCCTGCAGCGACCGCTGGCCTGCCACGTGGGGGGTTTGGAGAGTGCTGGCTGTGTCTGCCAATCCTGCTTTTCTAAGGGAAGTGGGGAGATCTGTTTTGTTAATTACTAGTATAGTTCTTGAATTTGATAAAATATACCTGTTCGGTGTCCCTTTTTTTTTTTCCCTTTCCCTATCCCTTTGGGGAGTGGATCCCCTTTTACTGTGTATATAGCATCTTAACTGTATATAACTTTAATTTACGTAAATATATATATATTTTATATAAACAGCTTGACTTTGGGTTCTTTAATTTTTTATAGTTTTTTTTTCTTTGCCCTAAGAGGAGAAGGGAGGAAAGAAGGGGGCTGCCGTCGTGACTTTCGGGCATTTGCCAAGGAGCCAAGTCTAAACCATCACACTGGGTCATGGGTTTGATCTCCTGGAAAGCCTGCAGGCTCATTAAAACCTCTGCTCCCTTTTCTTATCTCCTGCCTAATCTCCTGCCTAATTTCCTGCAGTCTTTTTTCTCCTCGGTTTTTAGGTAACACCTTCCTCTCTCCTCCTACCCAATTTCCAGGGGCTTTGAGGGCTTCTGCCCTCCCAGAGCCTTCCACAGCCCAGGCTTCTCAACCAGCCTCAGCAGCAGCCACAGAACGAGCACTGAGGCCAAGAGCATGGTCTGGGCAAGGCTGGCTCTGATGGACAGGGGCTCAGCTGGACTAGAGGGTTCCTTCCACACCTGCCAGTAAAGGTGCCCCAGGGGCACAGCCACTGGCTCAGTGTCCCAGTGGAAACCAGTGATGACTGGTGTCCCTCAGGGCTCCATACTGGGACCATATTTGTTAATATGTTCATCAGTGACACGAGTAGTGGGTTGGGTGGACCCTCAACAAGTCTGGGCATGACCCAAGCTGAGGGTTGCATTGCTACGCTTGAGGAGAGTGTTTCAACCCAGAGGGATCTTGGCACACTTGAGGAATGATCCCATGGGAAGCTCCCTCAGGAACTTCTACAAGGCCAGGACTGGAGGTGAATGGTTTAGAGAGCACTGCAGAGAAGGAACCAGAGGAAATGGAGGTTGAAATATCTGACATGAGCCAGCAATGTGCAGTTGCTGCCCAGAAATGCAGTCATGTCCTGGGCTGCACCAACACAAACATGGCCAGCAGGTCAAGGGTGGGGAATTCTCCACTTCTCATCTGCTCTCATTAGACCCCCCCTGGGTCCCCATTCAGAAGAGACATGGAGCTGTTGGAACAGCCCCAGAGAAGGGATGCAAAAATGACCCCATGAATACATCAAACCCATGGAGAAAGGCTGAGGGAGTTGAAGTTTTACAGGCAGAAGAAGAGCAGGGTCTGGGGAGATCTTATTGCAGCCTTTGAGTGTGTAAAGGGGCCATATAAGTGGGAGAAAGATATTTTTCCAAGGCCTGTAGTATTTGGACAAGGAAAAACAGTTTTAAATTGAAATGGGGTAGATGTAGATGGGATACTGGAATAAGAGGATGAAATTTATGATGATGAGTGTGGTGGGATACTGGAATATGCGGTGGTCCATCATGGGAAGTGTTCAGGGTGAGTTTTGGGGAACTCAGAGTAAAGTAACTGATGTATTGACAGAAGAATGTTAGGAAGGGTCTCCTGGAGTCTGAAGGGAAGCTGTGCCTGTGTGTGGTCAGTGAGACATTCACAGCTGAGTCCTTGTGTCACAGAGCTGAGCTCAGGGAGGCAAAGATGTGCAAAGATGTGGTTGTCACTGGAGAGTGGAGGGTAATTGTGTGCTGAGCCAAAGAGGCAGAAATTGAGAAACCAGAGGGTCAGTCCATGTAGGACAGAGCTCACTCAGGGCCAGCCTGTGCTGACAAAGGGTGCAAAACCATCCCCAACAACCCCCTCCCAGAAACCTCCTGGGGCAACATCTGTGCCCTGGGAGAGTGTCTGCAGGGGAAAGGATGACACAGAGGTGTGGGCTGGGATGCAGCAGAATTTAATGAGTGCAAAGAGGGAAGAGAGGTGGATGCAAGGGGAGATGTCCAAGGGGAGAGGCCATGGGAGGGAGCAGCTTTAGCAGGAGAAGCAGGTCCTGCCACAGAGGCCACTGCCCAGCCCAGAGAGGCCAAAGCCCCCGGAGTTGATGGGCACTCCCTGAGAGCTGAGGATGCTGCCAACGGCAGCGGAGGTGGAGGATCCCACAGCGGTGTTCTGTGGGAAGGAGCTGAGGATGGGCCCGGGCAGGGTCACCACCACGGGGGAGGGCTGGATGACCACGGTGGAGTCCTGGCACTGCCTGACACAGGGCTCATTGCAGCTGTTGGCCAGCGGGGTGGGCCCGCAGGGCTGGCAGGGCAGGCACGGGGTGGAGCAGGACATGTCTCAAAGTCAGAGCTGCACCTGGCACAGAGGGCAAGAAAAATCAAGGCATGAGAGGTTTTTGAAGGGCAACCTCTCACCACACTGTGCAGGTGCCCTGTCAAGACAAATTGTAAGTAACAGCCGGAAGTGCTGGACTGATACACACAGTCTTCTGTTTAGCTAAAAAGTTCCCTGCCAAGAGCAACCAGTCCCCAGGAATTTCCACTTACCCCATCGCTCACTTCAGTCAAGCCCCACCCTGTTTTCATGAACACTCTGCCCACATTCCTCTCCCATCATAAGCAGACCCAAAACCCAGCATAGAACACAGGGACAGGTATGTGCTGAAAAAACATGAGGAGGAAGAAGAGAAGGAAGGAGAGGAGAAAAGTCTTCAACCTCACCTTGTTTCCAGTGAGATGGAAGCGAGTGGACTGGATGTGAGTGAGGAGAAGGGCCTGCCTTTATACTTCTCCTGCACTGCCCCAGGCCCACAGTCACTGCACAAGGGCCGCAGTTTTCCAACAGACTCATCTCCAAAGCAAAATACCCCACCTAATGGCACAGGTCGTGCTTTTGTTTCTGTAAACGCTGCCATTTCATTTCCTCGTTTCTGACATTCCTTCTCTGAGCTGTAGGATCCTTTCGTGTGCCACAAGGAGAAGCCAGAGGATATCCGAGGCAGAATCCTGTTAGTGGGGACAGCAGTGCTGGAGGGTTCTATGTAGGCAGGAGGTGTTGGCCCGGGGCAGTGAAGTGTGTCTCTTTGCTGCTGCCTTTGTAGGAAGTGCCCCAGCTCTGCCCAACGCAGAGATGTCACCACAGCCCCCAAAAGCTCCTCTGCCTTAGGGACGTGTCACCCCCTTCTCTCTCTTCTGTCTTTCTCCACTCTCCTGCAGGATCACGAGCTGTGGCATCTCCAGACAGCCAGGCTTTGGAAGGGGTTTGCCATCAGCCTGTGCAATGGGATCCCTCTTCTCTGCTCCACAGGGCTCAGGAACAGCTGCCCCCAAGAGCAGCTGCCTGGTGGGACAGAGGCACGGACAGACTGGTCCCAGTCCAGCAAAGGCCTCAGAGCCCAGGCAGTGACTGCAGCCCCTGGGACAGGAGGGGCTGCCCCAGCTGGGCTTGTCCCCCTGGAGGAGAGAGAGCAGCCAGGCACACTGCCCAGGAATGGGGAAAAGAGCTGCTGGGAGGGAGTCCAGAACTCACAGCCAGACTCTCCTGAGCCCTACCCAGGGAAGGGACAAGAGGTAACAGGCACATCTGGAAATATGGGAAATTCCAGAGAAACAGAAGAAAAGACATTGTTAGTGTGATGTCTGGGGTTGACAGGGACAGGTTGTGGATTCTTCATCCTTGAAGGGATTCAGAGCTTGGCAGGACTTGGCCCTGAGCATCCTCCAAAGGCTGATCATGCTTTGAGCAGGGATGGTTGGAGCAAATGATCTCCAGAGGTCCCTTCCAACCTCAAGGATCCTGTGGTTCTGCCATGGGAAATGATGGGTTCTGCACAGCTGCTCCTAGAAGGGAAGAACTGGTGGGAAACATTGGAATTCAAAGAAGGGCAGCCTTGGTCCTCCTACCTCAGGGACACTGGAGTCAAGACCTGATGGCAGGAAGGAAATCCAGTGGACTTCAGGCACAGCAGATTCATCTTCAGCAGCTGTTAGGGGTGATTTCATGGGCACAGCTTTGGGCAGCACACGGTTCAGGAACAAGAAGGGTGCAGCCCAGTACTCAAAATCAAGGAGATGTCTGAGCAGATTGGCTCTGACCAAGGGGGGTTCTGAAGGCGGACCACCAACACAGAGTCCTGGAGCTGAAGGGAGGGATGAGCTTCAAAAGAGGAATTTGGAAATGTTTCACATATTTCATATGTTGGAATGCTGCTACAAAAAGCAAAGCTCAACCTGCCTTGAGTCTTGAGAGACCCCTCCAGAGGAACAGACAACAATCATCATCCTACAAGAGCAGTTAAAGGCTGACCAAGGAAAATGTGGTCCAGCTGCTGACAGGGGCAGCTGATTTCCTGAAGAGTGTCCAGAGAACAGGCTGGGGGAGTCAATACCTTCCCTCTCTCAGGCATCACCTCGGCTGAGACTTGTCTCAGGCTGTGGTGAGGAGCTCTCCTGAATGTGTTGTGGTGTTAAAAAAGGGTTGCAGAAAACATCTCCCCACCACCTTGAACACATCCTTGGGTCTCAAATGACACCACTTCTCTTGGAATTAGTGCTTTGTCATTGTCCCTTTCCTCTGACCTAGAGACTGGCTCAGCCTGGAGCACAAACTGATACCACTGGGGAAGCAAAAACTTGCCCAACTCACAAGGAAATGAGGCCTGGCAGGACCCTGAATGTGCCTGGGGATGCTCAGGGAGGGGAGGTGCCCAGAAGGGCCCTGGGGACAAACCCAGCTCTCAGCCCACGCCAAGCAGCGATGCTCTTCCCTGCCCTGCAGGCATGGAGGCAGCTGAGACACATCCCAGGAGGGCAAGGGAATGCCTTCAGTAGGCAAATTTCCTGGGACTGACTCTCCCAGCCCATGGCCAGCCCCGCTCTAATTTTGGATCCGCCGTGTGTCATCCCTTTGGTGTGCTGTGTGCAGGCCTAATGTCCCACACAGGGACCCTCCAGCAAGGGCAGCTCCATCCATGCCTCAGAAAATCCATCTTGAGTCACTGGGCTGTTCCTTGAACACAGCTCGGGGCAGCTCGGACAGACACCGCCCTCAGCACAGCTCGCTGCCGTCGCTCCCACAGCACAGGGGGCTTTCAGGACAGTCAGCTGGGGCTGGAAAAGAGACTCCTGCTACTGTGGGGCCAAACTGTGGGGTCACAGTGTACGGTGATCTGAGGAAAATGGGAAGAACAAGGTGCTTCACTGAGCCCCCACACACCCCCCAGGGCACTGAGATGGGACCCAGCTCTGTGGGGCGAGTTGAGGAATCAAAGGGTTTCAGGAGAGCAAGTCATCCTTCCCCATATCCCAGTGCTGGCACTCCCTGGGAACCCCACAAGGCTGCCAGGAAAGAGGACAACCTTGCCAAACAAACTGCCACAGGCAGGAGAGGACTGAATTGGTGGGAGGGTATGCTTAGAAGCCTCCAAAGAGGGTAAGAAAACAACCACACCATATTTCCTCAGATTGGTGTCAACAGTCTCCACAGACCCCTCCAGCACATGTAACACATCTTCTGCCTGTACGGATGTGTCACTGCCCCAGATCCTTGGGCCTTTCATCTCAGGACTTGAAAGGATCCTCAGAGGACTAATGGTCATGTCAGAAACGAGGAAATGAAATGGCAGCGTTGATGGAAACCAAAACACACCCTGTGGCATTAGGTTGGGTATTTTGCTTTCAAGGTGAGTCTGTTGGAAAATTACTGCCCTGTGCAGTGACTGTGGGCCTGGGGCAGTGCAGGAACAGTATAAAAGCAGGCCCAGCTCCTCAGTCTCTCATACACTTCTCTCTTCTCCATCTCATTGACAACAAGGTGAGTTTAGAACACTTTTTTTTGCTTCTCCTCCTCCTCCTGTTTTTCCTCCTCCTGTTGTGGGATATCGCAGCACATACTTCTCCCTTTGTCATATTCTGGAGTCCTGAGGATGCTTACCATGGGATAGGGCAGGTAGAAGACAATGTGGCAGGGGAAGAGATTCAGGCTTGGCTGAAATGTCTGCACAACCATGAGCTAAGTGGGGGTCCTCTCTGGGGCTGCAGTTCCTGCTGGGGCTCTTCTGAGGGAAAAGAAAATGCCTAGGGTTCTCTTTGTGATGTTCTTTTGTGATGAGGGAAAGGGTCTCCCTCATGTGGGGGGTGAGAGGTTCCTCTTCAAGCACAATTCATGTTTTTCTTCCCCTGCCCTCTGTGCCAGGTGCAGCTCTGCCTTTGAGACATGTCCTGCTACACCCCGTGCCTGCCCTGCCAGCCCTGCGGGCCCACCCCGCTGGCCAACAGCTGCAATGAGCCCTGTGTCAGGCAGTGCCAGGATTCCAATGTCTTCATCCAGCCCTCCCCCGTGGTGGTGACCCTGCCCGGGCCCATCCTCAGCTCCTTCCCACAGAACACCGCCGTGGGATCCTCCACCTCCGCTGCCGTTGGCAGCATCCTCAGCTCTCAGGGAGTGCCCATCAACTCCGGGGGCTTTGGCCTCTCTGGGCTCGGCAGTGGCTACTGTGGCAGGAGCCGCTTCATCTGCTAAAGCTGCTGCCCCAGGCCCTGGGGAAGGCCCTCAAGGACTCCCAAGATGGTTTTTCACTGATGCTGGAGCATCATCTTGCTGCTTCCAGACGGGCTGAGCCAGCCCAGCAGCCCCTGCAGAAGGACGGGGCCAGCCTGGGCTCTGGGCAAGCACGGCCCAGCCCTGCCTCTGCCCTCTGCCACTCTCTGCTTTCTGTCCTGTGTCCTTGTTCCCTTGTGCTCCGTGGGCTCTCAGCCCCACAGAACCAGCCTGGGGAGGACCTGCTGGCCCTGTTCCCCCCCTGGATCAGGCAGATGGACTCCTGATGGGATGTCTGACAGATCCAAGGGGTAGAGACTCTCTGCCCCTGGTGCTCTCTCAACTGAGTTCTCCATTTACAGCAACCTTTTTTCCCTCTTTTAACTCAATAAAGTTCTGCTGCATCCCAGCTCATGTCTCTGTGTCCTCCTTTCCCCTGCAGACGTTCTCCCAATGTGCCCAGGGGAAATGGTGTTGTCTGAGAGTGGTTCTGGGAGGGGGTTGTTGGGAATGGCTGTGCAGTGTTTGTCAACTGGGTTTTGCAGTGAGGCTGCTCAGGCAGTACTTGCTGGTTTCCAAAGGTTCCTGTCCTTTTGGGGATGGAGTGACCAGTGAAGTTCAACATCTGACATCTGCTTTGTTGTGCTCACCTTGTCTTTTGCCTTGGTGAGCTCATCACTGTGACACAAGTAGTCAGAGGGAGGAGGAAGGAATGTGTTTATTGACAAGACAGAGGGAATACCTTCCCAGGAAAGCCCAGGAGATCCTGTCCTAGCAATAACGTTGAGGTTCAGAGT